AAAATTATTAAAAATAATAATTAATAAAATTATTTTAGAATTACTAAAACCAGCACAGATTTAGCTTCTCGGGTTCTACCTTAATCTTATTTTTCTTCCAGATACACAAAGGACCAGATGTTTATATTTCCTATATCAGTATTTGATCTTTATGAATTCCAATAGATCCTGCCATGATCTATATCTGTAAGAGACTATAGGATCAGAGTGTTTGGATTTTCTGTACTTTACCGTTTGGTTCATTGCATCAAAATGCATTAATGTGTATATTTCCCCATAAAAATGTTTAGTATGATTATATTTAGACTATGTTAATAAGTACATTTCTAAAATAAGTACATTTCTAAAAAATACATAAACAGTATGTACATCCACATTTTTGTGGATAAGGGGCATCATGAAGCAATAAACATTGTTAATAACAAATACACCCAAATACATGGATTTGAAATAGGTTATATTATCCAGGCTTAATGTATACATATGTTTTGGCTGAGGACTAAGATAGCCTTATTTAGATTATACAGTCTTTTACAAATATAGCCAAGACATTTGCTTCCAAATGGAGCATTCATCCATATACAGATAGTTCTCGAATTACGACCACAATTAAGCTCAAAATTCTGTTGTTAAGGAGACGTTTGTTAAATAAATTTTGCCCCATTTTTTTTAACTTTCTTGCCCCAGTTGTTAAGTGAATCACTACAGTTGTTAAGTGAATCTGACTTCCCCATTGACTTTGCTTGTCAGAAGGTTGCAAAAGGTGACCACAAGACCCCAGGATACTGCAACCATCATAAATATGAACTAGTTGCCAGGTGTCCAAAGTTTGATCATATCACCTTACAACAGTCGTAAGTGTGAAAAACGGTCATGTCACTTTTTTCAATGCCACTGCAATTTTGAACTGTCTCTGAACTGTTGTAAGTCAAAGACTACCTGTTTTAACTCATCTGCATTGACAGTCTAGGAAGACTGCCTTGAAATAATAAAAACCAATGCTAGTGTGTTACAAATGCTTTTCATACAACCAATATTCACATTTTCTTTCAGGTTTTCTTCTTACCAAACTAGATACAATAAGAATGAGGAACACATGTCCTTCTAGATGTTGCTAATTATCTTTCCCAGCAGTTGCTGCTGTCATGAATCAGGCTGAGGGATGCTAAGAGTTGGACGCTATTTTCTAACTCTTCGCCCTTCCATTGTTACATTTATTTTCTTTCTTACTGGCAGTTAGGTCTCTTTTTAGAGTTTCTAATAGTTGGAACATAGCAGCTTCAAGGAAAGTAGGGTCATAGATAGGATTCAACTTTTTTTATTCTAGTAAAACAGGTTTAAACTGCTTTTGTATTAATTTGGTACCAAACCAAGACTTACGTTCAGACAGCCATGCTGTCTATGATTTTAGTTAAACAATCTCTAACAGTGACATGGACTAGATCATCATTAAACAGCTTAGAGCTTGTTTAGTCACTTGGAGACACGTATTCTTCTTTACACATTCCTCCCTCACTAGACTCCCAAATTAGGTTGCCCATTGGTATATAAAATTGTAGCTACCCAGACATTTCTAATTTTATCTCTGGTCAAAACAGGCTGTCACTTGTTCTCTGGCATGAAAATAAAATATTTTCTGCATTGTTGTTTGAAGTATCACTTGTGTAATGGATCTCCCAATATAGTTTACTTTTAGTTAAAAGATAAAATTCCCTAACTGTAAAGATGCCATATCTTATGCTTATTAGTACAATGTTGTCTTCTCAATTGGATGTTGACGATCTCAAGCAGGTCTCATTTTAGGTAGTATCAAATTGTTATTCAGAAGGTTGCCCATTTTGTTGCTGTAGTATGTAACATTTATGCCTGTTAGAGAAGGAATATATCAGATAAATTATTTGAAGATGACCCTACTCCAGTTTCCATAAATCTGATGCCCAGGATATGGAACAACAGCTCAGGATTTGCATCATTCATGTCAAATGATGTGTGTGGAAAGTGCATTATTGCTCAACTCTGCAGCATGTCCCAAAGGTCCTTTTTCAAGAGGCAACTGGACCTTCTTGTTTTTCTCTGAAGACATTTCACTTTTCATCTAAGAAGCTTCTTCAGCTCCGACTGACTTTCCAAACAGAACAACCACTTCATAAACACATGGCACAACATAAGAGAACAAACCCATCAGGACAAGATTCAGAAGTCCATCTGCATTTGAAGACAGCAAAGTCCACATTTTGGACAGAGAGGACTGCTGATTTTAAAGAGGGGTCAAAGAAGTCATCTATATCAAAATTGAACAGCCCTTTCTCAACAGAGGAGGAGGATACAACATCATCTATTTCCAGTCTACAACAGTCCTTTCATAAATTCCAAGAAGGCTCCACACCCATTTGCACTTTCCAGATGACCCTGAGGACACAGATAAACCTTCAAGTGGCCTCAAAGACTTTCTAACAGAATGTAAATGACCAGCTGTCTGCAAGGAATATAAATCCTTCCATTCCCCACCGTCCAATCAGAACTGAAGAAGTTTCTTGGATTAGAAGTGAAACGTCTTCAAAGAAAAACAAGGGAGTCCAGCTGTCTCTTTAAAAAAGTACATTTGGAACAACCATGATCTGGAGAATCTCCAGAGACAATTCTGCAGCATGTTCTAGAAATGGGAGCATGTTTTCATCAGAAAAATCCATCTTAATCAGAAACATCTGCAGATCTTTCTACCTGGAACGGGGCATCTGCCTTGGCTCTTGAGGCAATTTTAATTCATCTTGACTACATATCAGCAGGCTGGTATGGGACTGTATGGATCCAATTCAGCTTACCTCACATTGGAGCATCTCTCTTTCAGTTGAGGAATAATTCAAAGGAAACACAGCAAAACATTCCATGTTTGCAGAACACCTTTATGAAGGACATGCACTTAATATTTAAATTAAATTTTATTGGAAACAATTTAACATGAAGTTTAATGTCTATCTCATTGTTTGGTGTTATTCACATATGGAAGTTAGGGGTACTGGGAAGGAGTGGACAGTTCAGTTTATACTGTTTAGGATTCAGTCTTAGAAAATAAAACAATAAGATGTTCCCATCAATTACTGTTTTGATTATGCAGATATTTGCTTTAAAAGATACTAAGCTTATTTTCCAAAACGGAGGTCTATCTGAAACTTTTTTTAAATTTTTTTTATACATCAACTGGTTATAGAATCAGTTTAGCCTAACACCTAAGATACCAGGCTACAGGAATTTGAGTTTTGCCTTTGGCCTGAAGCCAGCTGAGTGATTTGGGGTCGGTCCCTCTCAACTCCAGGAAGAAAGTAATGACAAACCACTTCTGAAATTTTGCAGGGACTAGTCTAGGCAATTTGCATGAGTCAGTACTGATTTGAAGGTATTAAAAAATGGTTATACTGTTCCTGCATAGACACGTGTATATGTGATATTTATTAAATATATTCATCCTTTTTCTAGAGTTACGTTCTAGAAATACACCAGGTCAAGCATAAAGCTAACCAAGCTTGTGATATAAGTTCAAATCAAGCCAATATGTCTTCAGTGGTCCTGGTTAAGCCCGTTGTGCAAAGCTAGCCACAGCATGGCAGTCCAATGAAACCGACTTCCAATGGCAGAGACTGCCTAAATGTGTGATCTCTGATTAGCTGAATTACAGAAATTCATCTGTGTTGCTGTAGAAGGTTTTCCGTGCAAGTATATTTTCTTATTACCAAGAATCAGTTCAGAAGTTGTGAAGTTCAATTTCTCCGCAATCCAAGGCCTCATGTTTTCCTCACTTTCCACACACATGCTACTTGTCTTTTATGACATCTTGCCTAATGAGCAGATCTGGAGGCCTTGAAAGCTTACCAATTCTTCATTTTTTCTTTTTCTCCGAGAGTTGTGTTCAGACAAGAGCCCTTAAGAGGAGGAAATGTTTGGAAGCGACAGTGGAGCTGGGAAGGTTCCTTCGCAGTTCTCCGCTATGTTTTTCCCATGCAAGAGTGCCTTGCCCAAGGAACATTTTTTTAAACCAAGCAAATATTACAGGGGAGAAGATGGTCTCCCTGTCATCCTTTCCCTACAGGTTAGCTGGATGAGCTAAAGCAGGAGGGGAAGATAAGAGCCTTCCCTTGCTCAAGTATACAGGTGATCCTCTACCTACAACAGATCATTTACTCACAGTTCAAAGTGACAACGCTGAAAAAAAGTGACTTATGACCATTTTTCCGCTATGACCTTTGCAGCATCTCCATGATCATTTGATCAAAATTCAGATGCTTGCCAACTGGTTCACACTGATGACCGTTGCTGTGCCCCGAGGTCATGCGGTCCCCTTTTGCGACCATCTGACAAGCAGGGGAAGGAAGCGAGGTTCACTTAACAACTGTGTGTCGTAACTTTAACCACTGCAGCGACTCACTTTAACAAACCGTGGCACGAAAAGGTGGTTAAAAGGGAGCCAAACTCACTTGAGAAATGTCTCACTGATCAACATAAATTTTGGACTAGACTGCGGTCGTAAGTCGAGGACTACCTGTACTTTACCGCAGGTTCGCCTCCTTTACCGTAAACACAAAGCAGAGAGAGCCGCAGAGGAGCGTGACAGGCCGGGCTCCCGACGCTGGGTGAAAGGAAACACCCGGGAAGCTCCGGGGCAGCGATTCGTTATCCTTTCTTTTTTTTTTCCCCCTCAGGGAGAGCCCCGCGCAGAGAGCGGCGGCGCCGAGGCCGCGAGGCGAGGGAAATACCTTCTTCTCGGCTTCCCGCGTCGGGCTGCGCCGTCGCCGCGCCTCTCACCCCCACACCCCGCGTCCTCCCGCCCGCGTCTGTTCGGGCAGGTTTTGATTACTACGGACGCCGCCGACGTCCAGCCTCCTTGGTGTAAGCGAGAGCGCTCCAGAGGAGGAGCGAGCCCTGCGAAACGTCAAGGCGGAGAGGAGAGAAAAGGGGGTGGGAAAAAGAAATATAATTTTAAAAAAAAGGATTGCAACCCTGGACCGCGCTGCGTTGGGCTGGCAATGCTGTCGTGTGACAGCAGCGGCGGCGGTGGCGCCCAGACGCAGCGATGAAATGTAGCTAACAGCAGCCCTGCAGCTGGGAAGCAGGCGGGCACCAGGCCGGTTTGAAATGCGTTGACTTCCCGAGCTGTGGCGGGTTGTTTTTTTTTCTCACCCCCCCTCCACGACCAGAATCCACCCGGCTTGACTTTTTCCACTCGGCGGCGTTCAATAACTCGGAAGCGCGATTCCCTCGTTGCTTTGCCGGGTCCTCTCTGCGGTTTGCTGCATCCTCCGCGCGCCCAAGGATGGCGGAGGCTGAATTGCACAAGGAAAGGCTGCAAGCGATTGCAGTAAGTCTGCTTCGGCTTGTTTGGTTTTTATTCTCTCTCTCTCTCTCTCTCTCTCCCCCGGTTCTTTATGTGTGAACGTGGGGAAATCCAGAGTCTTAAAAGGTTGCTCCGCATTCCCTCACAAGAGCTGGACGGTTGGTTTTTCCCCTCACCCCGGTCCCCCCCGCCCGTTTTTTTCCCCCGTTGTAAAATGCGCCCTGGCGAAGTTGTGCTGAGTTTGCCCTTTCATTTTTTTTTTTTTTAGCATTGGCTTCATTGCTTTGTGAAGAGCAAATTGTCTGCCTTTGGCCGTGCATAGTTGTAGAGTTGTAGTGGGTTTGCATGTGATTGAGGTGAATAGGAAAGAGATAGATAGATGGATAGATAGATAGATAGATAGATAGATAGATAGATAGATAGATAGATAGATAGATAGATAGATCATGTCATCTATCTGTGTACAAAATATTAATTCACAAAATGTAGATCGGTAGTTGCATCAGAACTAAATAAAAGCATAAAGAATGCATTCTCTTTTAAGGGCAGATGCACTCACAATTTGCAGCGGTTTGCTACAGATAGTAAGAGTTGGCTGTTGCTTTGTGAATTGAGACAAAGTCAAGTACACTGTACATAGTGTTGGTGATCCGTTTGCAGTGCCAATGCTAAAGACTCAGCAACTTACATACAGTTTGTAAGGCTTTGGTAATCGATTTGCAGTGCTGTTTATTCAGAGGTGAGTTCCGTTAATTCTTCCTCTGATTCTGAAGGGTAACTTTGGCAGTACTTGAAGTCCTTATCTAGTTTTTGGAAATTAAGCAGGGTTGGACCAGGATGCTATTTTGATGTGGCACTATTGGGAAATACCGAGGTTGTGGACTGGACTGGGAAGTCAAAAAAATCCTGGAGGTAGGCAGCGGTAAACTATTTCTATATTGTTGCCAAGAAGCCTGTATGAACAAGCCATAAAGTTGTCTTGTGTTGAACTTGACTCAAGGGACACTTTTCCTTCCCTGTTTATTTTAATAAATTTTAATTTAATAAATTTTTCTATTTAAAAAATCAGGTAAAATGAATATCTGCATATGTAGGAGTTTGAAGGACAAACTCTGAACCCCTACATCAGCTTATACAACTGTTAAACACACACAGAGAGAGGGGAAGGGAGAGAGAGAGATTGAAGAATACCATAAATAGGAATTCAGTAGACCAGCTAGCATTGTAATCTTTGTTACAATCACCAACAAGGACTTGGAGGATGATCATATTGAGAGAGAACAAGCTATATTCTTGATTTAAAAGGGCTTGTAAGTCCATTTCATATGCTAAAAGTTTATCTGAACACTTTTCATCATATAAACTCCATTATAAGCCACACCCTTTATTCAAACATCTTGGGCATAAAACTGGCAGCTGAATAATGCCAGTTTTGTTTAATATTTAATGTGAGTCAAACATGTGATTTTCTATCAAATATGTAATTAATGGGAAGTGGAGGGAAGGAGGAGGAATAGAAACATCAAAAAGAATTTTTGGACTAGTCTTTGTTCTTCTGCATGCGTTTTTCATTTGTCCTGGGAAACTTCAGACAAATATAAATTAATGAAAATATATAGGAAAATTTATTTGATGTTTAAAATCTGTGATCATACTTAGATTTCAACCAGCTCCTGCAGAACTGATTTGAATATTACATATTAGAACTGGTAGTGAATGTATTAGGCATATAATACTGCTCTCTGATTTGAATCTAGAGTTCTTATATATTCTGATTTCTCCACCCCCACCCTGTTTGATCTCTTTGTTTAAGAATATTTTTAGAGAAAGTTTGTTAAGGCCAAGAGGTGATTGTGTGTTCCTCCTCTTCTCCTCTGACCTTGTTCTTGAGGTAGCTCATGTTGTCCATCAGTAGTATGGATGCTTTTCTCTCCACTTTGTAAGGCTGATGTGCTTGGGCTGGGTTTATACAAACAGATGTCAAGTTTTACAAGTTTTTTTCCCCAAACATGGTTTGCCATTATCTGCTTCCTAGGGCTGAGAGGGAGGGACTGGCCAAGGTCATCCAGTTTTGCCTAAGATGGAACCAGAACGCAAAGGTTCACAGTTTCTAACCTGATCTCTTCACCACCAAACCACACTGATACTCTACAACCAATAATTACATATCTTCACTGTCTTGTTCTGGGCTCTTTCACATTTGAAAGAGCCTTTCACATAATGCTCTTTATTTTCTGCTAAGATGCAATGCAATGTAATGCAGTGCAATGCAAACTTTATTGTCACTTTAAATGTAGACTGATCAACATATATTAAAATGAAATTTTGTTGCATTCAGCTCTCCACTTCACACTGTATTGATTTTGCTGTCTAAATGTGATTTTTAAAATTGTTTCTAGTATAATTTCACTGACTCTTAACTGGTTTTTGACAAAGAAACAAAGCACAATTCATGCTAACTTATCTTTTTACCAACTCAAGAATGAGTTGGTAGCATTGACTCAAAAATAGTTCTCAATTTACAACCATTCATTTATTGACCATTCAAAGTTACAATGGCCATGAAAAGAGTGACATTTGGGCCTTGCACCTAGAAACGGTCACAGCATCCCCACAGTCATATGATCAAAATCTGGGTACTTGGCAACCAGCATGTATTTATAATGATCCCAGGATCATATGATCACCATTTGTGACTTTCCCAGCCGCCTTCTGACCAGGAAAGTCAATGTGGGTAGCCAAATTTGCTTAACAGCCACATATCTCAACCATTTGTATGATTTGCTTACAATTGTGGCAGAAAGTTGCAAAATTGGGCATTACTCATTTAATAATTGCCTTGCTTGACAACTGAAATTCTGGTCTCAATTATGATTGTACGTTGAGGACTACCTGTAGATAAAAGAGAGATATTTCCCCTTCCCACATTTCTTTAGAATTTAAAATTTAGTTATTAAAAACCAGAATGATGGTAAATAAAAATGAGTGTGAGATCAGCAGTTACCAAATGTTTATTAATTTGAATGTGCGGTTAGAATATGCAGTGTCAAGACTAGGTTGCTTTTTTAAAATTACCTGCTATGTTGCAGTGGTCATTTGGTCATTTGTGATAGATGTTGCACATATGACTTGCCCCTCTATTATTCATGCTTCAGTAAGGACCTCAAATTTCTACAGAATTGTGCACTATTCAGTTGAGTAGATTTATAATCGGTCTGACCAATGAGAACATTGTAACAGAATCAAGATAAGTAGAACATACTTAAAATTAATTTTCTAAATCTTAAAATGCTAAAATCTGTTATCTTCCTATTACATTTCTGGAGTAGATAAGAACTTTTAAACTTTCATATACATTATGCCTGAGAAATATAGAACTAGAATTCTTAAACCTTCTTCCTCCATCAAATAAAATACATAGAATATTGTAATATCATACTTTCACTTAGATAGCCAATTTGGTGTAGTGGTTAAGACAATTAGGAGACCACGAATTCTAGTCCCATGTTAAGTGTGAAGCCAGTTGAGTGATTTTGGGCTAACCCCTCTCTCTCAACCCTAGGAAGAAGGCAATGGCAAGCCACTTCGGAAATCTTGCCAAGAAAACTGCAGGGACTTGTCCAGGAAGTTGCCAAGGGTCAACATGAACTCAAAGTACCCCCTGCAACAAATAAAATCAACTTAGTTTTCATTGTGTGCTGCAGCCAAACTGTTGGCTGGGACTAATAACTGATCGCTTGCTATGTCCTTGCTGACTCCACTCACAGGGTTGCATATGACCTGCAAGGTTGTATGTGATTCGGATTGGATATTTGGAAAGTGGGCCATAGTTACTTAGACTTAGGCTGCAGTTACTTGATTAAAGCTAGTCTATCTGATATCACTTTTCTTCATTAAGGAAAACAGGGATACAATTACAGATAGTCCTTGACTTACAACCACAGTTGCAACCAGAATTTCCATTGTTAAACAAGATGGTTGTTAAGTGAGCCCTATCTCATTTTACTAGTTTTCTTGCTGTGGTTGTTAAGTGAATCCTTGGAGTTGTTAAGAGAATCATAGTTGTTGGGTGAATCAGATTTCCTCCATTGACTTTGCTTTTTGGAAGTTGGCTGGGAAGGTTGCAATTGGCAATCACATGATCCCAGCATGCGACAACTGTCATAAATATGTACCAGTTGCCAAGCTTTCAAATTTTGATCAGGGATGGTGCTGTGGTCATAAGCACAAGTACTGGTCATAAATCACTTTTTTCAGTGCTGTTGTAGCTTTGAATGCTTGCAAGTTGAGGACCATCTGTATAGAACGTTCTTCCTGAGCTTAACTTTCATTATTCAAGGTATTTATCTGGTAAATTAAAAGGAACTGTTCTAATTTTTCAAACTTGCAGCTTTAAAGTGCATGGACTAGGGCTGAGGAGTTCTGGGAGCTGAAATCCAAGCATCTTAAAGTCGCCAAGCTCTTGGTCTAGAGCAGTGTTTTCCAACTTTAAGATGTGTGTACTTAAATTTCCAGAGTTCTCTAGCCTTCTGGAGAATTCTGTTTGCTGATAATTCTGGGAGTTGAAGTTCACACAAGTTGAAGTTGCCAAGATTGAGAAATGCTGTTCTAGAGTTTTCCTTTGGGGATACAATAGCAAAGCACCTTCTGAGTGATTCATTTTGTGTGTGTCTTTATAATGACTGCCCTGGATTATTTGATGTTTTGTGCTTGGTGTCTGTCTGTCTGTCTGTCTCTGATTTGTTTACAATTCATCATGCCTCATGAACTGCATGAATTATCTCAGTAGCTATAATGCAAAATAGATCAGAAAAGATAGAAAACACATTTCATTTGGAGCAAAAATTAAAAATTAATGGTTTCCCACAGGTAAAACGTGTGATTAGTGTTTTCTAGTTATAAATGAAGAAATTTATTTCATTTTCAATAAAGTTTTTGTTTTTCCAGGACAAGTTTTTTTGTACTTCTGCACACTTTATTATTTTAAAAAAATCTTGTAAAATTCATTTCCCTAATAAACACAA